GCAGCAGCAGCTGGAGCAGCAGCTGGGGCTGCAGCAGCAGCAGCAGCTGGAGCAGCAGCTGGGGCTGCAGCTGCAGCAGCAGCTGGAGGCCCAGCTGGGGCAGCAGCTGCAGCAGCAGCTGGAGGCCCAGCTGGGGCAGCAGCTGCAGCAGCAGCTGGAGCAGCAGCTGGGGCAGCAGCTGCAGCAGCAGCTGGAGCAGCTGCTACAGCAGCACCTGCAGCAGCCGTTGGAGCAGCTGGTGCAGCAGCAGTTGCAGGCGCAGCTTCAGCAGCAGTTGCAGGAGCAGCTGCGGCATCAGTTGCAGGGCCAGCTGCGGCACCAGTTGCAGAGGCAGCTGCAGCTGCAGCTACAGCAACAGCTGCAACTGCAGCTACAGCAGCAGCTGCAGGAACCGCTGCAGCGGCAGGTGCAGGAGCAGGTGCAGCGGCAGGTGCAGCTGCAGGTGCAGCAGCGGCTGCAGCAACGGCCGGACCGACAGTTGCACCAGCACGTGCAGCACCGGCTGCAGCAGCAGTTGCAGCAGCGCCATCAGCAGCGGCTGCAGCAGCAGCAGCAGCAGCAGCAGCAGCTAGGAACGCAGTTAATAGCCGAGCAGCAACAGCAGCCAGCGGCGCAGCAAGAGCAGCTACACCAGCAGTGGCAGCAGCAGCTACCTTGTGGGGCGCAGCAGCAGCCGACCACCGAGGTGGAGCGGCAGCAGCGGGCGCAGCTGCAGCAGCAAGGACTGCTGCCCCTGTCGCAACAGCAGTTGATTTCCCCGCAACAGCCGCAATGGAGCCCGCAGCAGCAGCTGCAGCTGGTGACGCAGCAGCAGCAGCCCCCACCCGATGGGGCGCAGCAGCAGCCGAACCTGGAGGCGCAGCAGCAGCAGCACCACCCCCACCGTCAGGGGATGCAGCAGAAGCTGCAGCTGGGGGCTCAGCAGCAACAGCAATGGGCTGCTGTTCAGCAGCAGCAGCAGCTGGAAGAACAGCAGCAGCGCCTCTATGCAAACCAGCATAAACCCCCCTGTGGGGTGGAGCTGCAGCAACAACATCTGGGGGTGCAATCAATGGCCCAGCAGCAGCAGCTTCTGGGGACAGAATCAATGGCCTTACAGCAGCAGCAGCAGCAGCAAGTAAGGGCGCAGCAGCAACAGCTGCAGCTGGGGATGCAGCAGCAGGAGCCCTGCAGTAGTGGGCGCCAGCAGACGGCCCTCGAGGCGCAGCAGCAGCAGCGACAGCAGCAAATAGTCGCGCAGCAGCAGCAACAACAGCAGCAACGAGCGGCGCAGCAGCAGCAGCAACAGCAAGAACGAGCGGCGCAGCAGCAGCAACAACAGCAGCAACTAAGGGCGCAGCATCAGGCAGAGTTGGCGGCTCAGCAGCGACTGCAACTGGTGCCGCAGCAGCAACAGCAACAGCACCTGGGGCCTCATCAGCGGCCACATCTGCAGCAGCTGTACCAGCTGGGGATGCAGCAGCATTCCATCATTTGGGCGCAGCAGCAGCCGCCGACTCCGGGGGCACAGCAGCAGCTGGTGCCTCAGCAGCAGCAGCAGCAGCAGCAGCAACTAGTGGCGCAGAAGCAGCAGCAACTAGTGGCGCAGAAGCAGCAGCAACTAGTGGCGCAGCAGCAGGAACAACAACACCAGCAGCAACGAGGGGCGCAGCAGCAGCAGCAGCTAGTGCCTCAGCAGCAGCAACAGCAGCAGCAACTAGTCGCGCAGCAGCAGCAACAACAGCAGCAACTGAGGGCGCAGCATCAGGCAGAGTTGACGGCTCAGCAGCAGCGGCAACTGGTACCGCAGCAGCAACAGCAACAGCCTCAGCAGCGGGCACATTTGCAGCAGCTGCAGCTGGGAATGCAGCAGCAGTCCCCCATTTTGGCGCAGCAGCAGCCGCCGACCCCGGAGGCGCAGCAACAGCAGCAGCAGCAACTGCAGAAACAGCAGCAACTACTGGAGCAGCAGCAGCAACTAGTGGCGCAGAAGCAGCAGCAACTAGTGGCGCAGCAGCAGCAGCAGCAACTAGTGGCGCAGCAGCAGCAGCAAAAGCAGCAACAACAGCAACAGCAGCAGCAACTAGTGGCGCAGCAGCAGCAGCAAAAGCAGCAACAACAGCAACGGCAGCAGCAGCAGCAACGAGGGGCGGAGCAGCAGCAGCGACTAGTGGCGCAGCAACAGCAGCAGCAACAGCAGCAACTGAGGGCGCAGCAGCAGGCAGAGTTGACGGCTCAGCAGCAGCGGCAACTGGTGCCGCAGCAGCAGTTGTTGCCTCAGCAGCGGGCACATCTGCAGCAGCTGCAGCTAGGAATGCAGCAGAAGTCCCCCATGTTGGCGCAGCAGCAGCCGCCGACCCCGGAGGCGACCCCGGAGGCGACCCCGGAGGCGACCCCGGAGGTGCAGCAGCAGCAGCAACAGCAGCAACAGCAACAGCGAGTGGCGCAGCAGCAGCAGCAACTAGTGGCGCAAAAGCAGCAGCAACAGGAACAACGAGGGGAGCAGCAGCAGGCAGAGTTGACGGCTCAGCAGCAGCCACAACTGGAGCCGCCGCAGCAAAAGCAGCAACGAGGGGTGCAGCAGCAGGCTGAGTCGACGGGTCAGGAGCAGCCGCAGCTGGCGCGGCAGCAGCAACGGCAACAGCAATTGGTGCGTCAGCGGCAGCCACATCCGCATCAGTTGCAGCAGCTAGGGCTGCAGCAGCAGCCCCGCATTTGGGCGCAGCAGCCGCCGCGGACTCCGGAGGAGCAGCTGCAGCAGCAACAGCAGCTGGAGTGGGAGCAGGTATCGCAGTGTACGCTGCTGCGCATGCACTGGCAGCGTCTCTTTCATGCACATTACCGTCTGCTGCAGCAAACGGAGGCACATAAGAAGCTTGTTAAGGAGACACAGATAAGATTAGATCTGCATAGACGTGTTGCGGATATCGAAGAAAAGGAGCAAGAGCGGCTCCAGCAGACGCTGCAGCAAGAGACACTCCGCGCGCTGCAGGAAGGCCTCCAGCGCAGGATGCAAGACTGTCGCCAGACTGAAGAGCAGCAACAGAAGGAGCCGGCGACGCAAGAAGAGGAGCAGCAACAGGAGCAGCCGCAGCAGCAGCAGGAGGAGCAGCAGCAACAGCAGCAGCAGCAACAACAAGAACAACAGGAGCAGCAGCAATCGCAGCAACAGCAGCTGCAGCAGCAAGAGCAGTTACAGCTGCAGCAACAGGAACTGCAACAGCAACAGCAGGTGCAGCAGGAGAAGCCGCAGCAGCAGAAGTCGCAGCAGCAGGAGAAGCAGCAGCAACATAAGCAGCAGCGACAGCAGCAGCAGGATCAGTTACCCTTTTTAGTGCCTCTCGGGGACAGTCCTACGCCGGTGAGCGTAGGAGACTCCGAAGTGCATGCGTCTGATGCCTCCTGGTCTGAAGGGGCCGCCTCCCCACGAGCAGAAGAGCATGCAGCCCCATTGCGTGAGCAGCATTATTCTCAAGGTAAGCCTCTGGTGTCTCCTCACTTGGCGAAGGACGCCCGTGAAGCTGCAGCAGCAGCAGGAGAAGGAGCAGCAGCAACAACAGGAGCAACAGCAACGACCTGGGTGCTTCCTAAAGGTGCAGCGCCTCCTAGAGGCTCAAGTTGGGCAGGTGGGGTGTCTGTACAGCGCAAGAGAGCGAGACGAGATTCTTCTACTGATGAGGAGACACATGCTGCTGATGCGGCTTTGCTGCCTGAAGCGTGGATGGGGGCCAGTAAGGAGACAGAAGAAGGAGACAGCAGCTGGGAGAGGGTGCGCAACGACACACGCCAGGGGGGATCCTCTGCTGCGTATGCAAGCAGCAGCAGCAGCAGCAACAACAACGACGGAAGCACCAGCAGCAAGGGTCTCACGAGTACGTGGGAATATGAAGACGACGCGGAGATGGAGACAGATGAAGTAGAGGTTGTAGAAGGGAGCAGCAGCAGCATCAGCAACAGCAATAGCAGCACCTACGTAACTGACAGCAGAGTTGCAAGTATATTGAGCATGACTCTGCCTAATGTAAGTGAAGGCAGCAGCAGCAGCAAAACCAGTATCAGCAAAGCTGTTCTCTTGAGTCATCCTTATGTACATCTTCCTGCCTTAGAGCCGGGGGTTGTTCCAAGATGTCTGCAGCCTTCTGTTGTGTTCGGAAGTGTGAAGAGAGGCTACAACGTGCAAGCAAATCTGCTTATTGTTCGGGAGCTCCTTAAGAAACAATATCTTAATCAATCAGACGCTGATAGATTGATGAGAAGTGTAGAGATGCTGGCGAATGGGGCGTTTAGACAAGCAAAGAGGTCGGCAAAACCTAGAAGAGCTATTGCTGCTGCTTCTTTGCTGGGTGTAACTGTGCTTGTTATGGATAGCATTGTTAGTAGTGTAATTCTCTTCGGAGACTCTATGCAGCTTCATTTGTGGTGGAACGAATTTGCTTCTTATTTCTTTACAGACTATCACTTTAGTTGTAAGACACCGAGACCAAGGGCAAGGCTAGTATTCAGCGCTACGTTCGCTAACCGTCTCCTAAAAGCTATTGACATTTATAAACAAGCAAAGAGACCAGAAGAAGAAGAAGTTATCACTATAAAGAGACTCTTATTTCTGTCTCCTTTTGCCCCCACACGCTTCACAGGTATTGATTGGCATCCCTGGAGAGAAGACGACGAAGAATTTCACCGCATGCACTTCGCTATTGGTGGAAACAACAGTAAATAAGAAGCCCCAATCCAAGCATCCATCCATGCATGCATGCATGCATGCATAATTGCATGCCTGCTTGCATGCGTTTATGCATGCATGCGCGCATGCACGCATGCATGCTTGGATGCATGCGTGCATGCATGCTTGCGTACATGTTTTTTTGTTGTGTGTATGAGAGCATGCATGCATGCATGCATGCATGTTCTTTTATGGTGTGTATTCATGAAGGCAGACAGGCGATGGTTTTTGTCCCGTCTGTGCATGCCTATGTGTTTTTTTGTAGAGTGTATGCCTGCATGCATGCGCGACTGTTATATATGTATATATATATATATATATATATATATATGCATGCATAGCTATGTGGATATATGTGTATGTGGGTATGTGTGTGTGTATAGTATATGCATACGTGCTTGTGCATGCATTCGCAACAGCAGCAGCAACAAAAACAACAAGAACAACAACAAGAACAACAGTGGGGCTTGTTATGCCATGCCTGCATGCATGCATGCATGCAGGCGTTCGTGCATGCATGTAGTGATGGGGCTGCATGGGGAGCCTTCCCCAAGACCCCGTCTCAGGTGTCTGTGGTGTCTGTAGGGAGAGAAGAAGCAGCAGCAGCACAAATTGAAAGAAGTTGCTGCGGTCCCAGGAGACACCTAACAGGTGTTTAGTGTGTCCCTAAAGAGGAGACAGCAGCAGCAGAGCTTGAGGCCCTGCTGCAGTGCAAGGAAGAGCTGCTGCAGGAGAAAGGAGACGCGAGGTGTCTCCCATTTCCTTTGGGAAGTACCTGGAGAGACACCTGAACATCTCTCGCACCAGGCTGTACGCATTTAAAGCGTCTCCTCTCCTCTGCTGTAAAGGCGGCAGGGAAGAGAGACGAGCCCAATAGCAGCCCCGAAGTGCATGCATGCATTTCTTTGCATGCACTTGAGGTGTCTGGTGTCTGGTTGCTCTCTCAATGGCGAAACCTGAGGGGAGTCTGCTCCCTTTCAGAGGAGACAGTGTCTCCTTTCAGAGGAGACAGTGTCTCCTTCAGTTGCTAGGGTGTCTCCTCATGAAAGAGGCAGTGTCTCCTTTGAAGGGAGACAGTGTCTCCTTTGAAGGGAGGCAGTGTCTCCTTTGAAGGGGACAGTGTCTCCTTTAAAAGGGGACAGAGCCTCCTTTATAAGAAGACGGTGTCTCCTTTGAAGGGAGACAGTGTCTCCTTTGCAAGGAAAGGGTGTCTCCTCTGGAAGAAGAGACTGTCCGCATTAATAGGAGACACTGCCTCCATTAAAAGGAGACAGATGCTTCAAAGCTGCTCCTCTCAAGTGGCTGCCTCCAGGGCCTCCAAGGCAGCTAGGGGGCTGTCTTCAGCAGAAGACAAACACGAGACATCTTAAGGCCCCTGAAGGCCCTAATCACCATCATTTGCCTGCATGCATGCATGCGTGCATGCATATGTGCATCTGCAGACACACACATTTCTATACATTTCCCTGGATCCGCATGTACGAACATTATATATATATATATATATATATAAATGTCTCTATAGGTATGTACGTAATATTATATAAATATATATATATATATAGATATATATATATATATATATAAATATGCAAAGTAACCTGCAGAGTTGCATGCATGCATATTGCTGTGCTTCAGTTGAAGGAATAAACATTCGCTACACCAGATGCCTCAGTGCTTGAAAACGGAGGCGCTACGTTTAAATACATTATGCATGCGTCTATGCATGCGCATACACTTATATATCCATATATATAATATATATGTGTATATATATATGCGTGTATATACATATATATATATGTATATAGATGTATGTGTAAGTACGTCTATATATATATGTATATATATGCATCTATATGAAACTATATATATGTGCACATATGTATAAACCCAAATGTGAATGCATTTATTTATGTACATAAGCGCATACATATTTTTATTTGTTTTGTTGTATTTCCTAAAAGTCATATAATATGTATGTATTATAATTATATTATAGATATTGCATAATGTATATATATATATATATATATATATACATATCCACATATATATATATATATATATATATATATATAT